GTGGTAATTTAGCTTGTCATCACAATGGTGTAAGAAGGAAATCTTACTTACATGTACGCGCTGAAGCTGAGATTAGAATCACCAACAGTATTGCCCCGAACAGCCAATAAGAAACTCTGAAAAGGGAATTCATCCTATATAATGTGAAGCTCTCTCTTGCTTTAAGCAACTAAAGGTTATAATATGTAACAGTGACAGACTGAAGATACACCCTCATTTATAGTCTGGATTGGAATTGATTAGCTATTTAGGCCATTACTGAAAAAGCTATTTTTGGGGGTGTACGAACCTGGTAAACATCCCAACTCAGTGAAAGAGTATTCAGGATTTATCTGGGTCGACCACATACCTTTCCGTGGGCGATGCACTTAAGTGGAGCAGAATTTGGGGCAGTGGCTTTGACGAATTACCGGTCGGAAGAATGAAACATCTTACAAGAAAAATTTATCTCAATTTGATCCCTACAATCAATTAGCGTTTGAAACTCTGACCATAACCAAGAAGTTGTGCATTGTCGGCTATTGTCGAAAGAATATTTCGTATTAAAAGTCACAAGAAAGTGCTCTTGTTGACTGTTGTGCTGATAATCGAATACCTATGTTGTGCTACATTGAAAAATATATATATTGCTGGTATTTAATAATTAGCAAGAGTTATTATTTGATTGAGTTCTCCCACATCATTTCCTCTACTTGATAATTTGACATTAATCGTTACCGCGGGATTATAAACTGGGTCATGGGGATAAAGTTATCTCAGTTTATAATTTCTTGTCATCACGAATACGCCACCGCCAGGAGTTTTGTGATGTTGAACTTTCCAGAGTTATGCTTAAAGTGGGTGTTAATTCCTTTTAATAGCTAAACACTTGTCTAATTGTTAGAAAGATACTTAATCAGCTGCATTGTTATTCTGATACCTCGACTGAAGGGTTTAGGGTCCAAAAATCACCTGGGAATTTTTTTCCGAGGTTGTTTCCTCTCACATAAACTAGACCTACAATTCATAAATATGTAGCAACTGCTTCACTCTTTCTTTTTATGAACATCATCCTTGAGCGCACGAGTAAACATATTTTCTTAAGTGTGCTATTAAGTTCATCAAAGTGCTACCCACGCGAAGATTACGTTTTTCATAGAGAATTTACATGAAATACTAAAGATCAGAGATTACACATAAGGTTAGGACTTTTGCGTGCAAATGTCTTGTTACTGTCTGTTAATTTGCCGGAATAAATCAATTTGACCCGACTACAAAACGGAAGTGAATTAAAACCCTTAAAGTGCTCGTAAATCAATTAAAGACATAAAAAGGTCCAAAAGAGATGGAGAACATTATGGGGAGGTTCTTTATGACAGTGGTCGACTTCCGGGACATTTCAACATCAAAACAGCCCAACAAGAAGCTAGATAATTTCTCCCGCTAAAAATATCTTAGTTTTATTTTCTTGAAAAAAACAACAAAGAAACAAACAAACATACAAAAAAACCAATTTATGTGGCATGGCTTTGTGATTCGCGTGTTTCACTTTCGTCTGGGGTTAGGCATGATTTCCGCCGTTGTTTCTAGAGGAGGAACCGGAGTGTGGGCTCTAACAATACTTAGTAACCCAGCTTATCATAGCAGGAATATTTCATCTTTTAGTCAGCAAGAATGATGAAATCTTAGGCTCGGCTCATCTTTCGTTACTTTCTTGCTTAACGGGAAAGATTAAAGAGATCAAGTGTCTAATCCTGACATCAATGACCGTTTTTTATGCCTTAAGGGCAGAAGTCTGGAATGAAGTAACTTTGCAGAATTCAGAATGATGTCGCTCTTATCATGGTTGTTACTAAAGACTAAACGTTCTCCCGTCTGTTTTCTTCCTTTCGTAGTCTTAGTAAAATCGATGCTTGACATACAAAGAGATCCTACATTTTTTAATAACCCTTTTGGTGGTCTTTAGTAGATATAACTCAGTCATTCGTTTACACTTGTGCGGTCAAGTGTGAACATCACTCGGTCAGTTTCTCTCGTATCTTTCTCTCAATATCACTCCGCAACTTGCCGTTATTGAAATATTATCTGGTTTGTTGTGCAGACTTATATAGTCACTTGGAAATTTTACTCTGTCAGCTGTACATACTTCGTTTTAGTCAGCTGCAAAAATTAGCTAGTTTATACTTTATATTTGCTAAAATGTAGACATCACTCCAGTAGCTTGTTTTATCATATGACACGGAAACGGTCATAAGCCGTGTATTTTTATTCACGAAAGCTAACAAACTACTTGCCAACCTATGACCAATAGTCCTTAGTACAGCCCTCACGCTCGGTTAGTAAGAAGTTGGCATTGACTTATTCCATTGGTTGTTATCATAATACTCTGTCAGTTGTAAGAAATAATTAGCTTGGTTACACTGTCTGTTGTAAGAAATAATTAGCTTGACTTTTCTGTCCGTTGTTTGCATTTATTCGGTTGGTTGTAATCTTGATAAGGCAATTTCGTATTACCAACTGAGTTGAGAACGTAAGTTGGCCACCGTTGACCTGAGAGTTTCAAAGATGACGTTTTAAGGGTGAGTACTTCGCCAGAGCAAATGACGAAGGGCTAACGAAGGGCTAACGAAGGGCTAACAGAGGGCTTAGGCTCGAAGCGTCAGCTTTAAAACTCTTTGCAGTGGCCAATTTACGTTACCGACTCATTTGGTAACACAAAATTAAGATGCAAGTCACTCTTAGGGGTCAAAGGCGTAACGCACTGATTTGATTTATTCTGTCATTTGTGTGACTCATTTGATTTAGTGGGTTGTAAAAACTAACGCTTCAAACGCTTCTGGTCGTCTTCCTATAACTATATGCAGAGCTGTTTTATTCGTGTCAGACTAGATTTCCTTTTCTTTCTCCCAACAGAGAGGCGGTAGCCGCACCCCTCGCTTGCCAGTACAATTAGACCACTGATTGACTCTCTGACTTTTGGAGGAGGCTCATGGATATGGACTTGCTGATCTGTGAGAGGCAAATAGGAAGTAGTTAAATAAAAAGTCAAAGAGACTAGCAGTGATTTAAATGGTTGAAGGCCCATGCTAACTAAAGAAAGCAAAAAGTGTCATCTAATTATGTGTAATTACTGTTATTTCTGTTTGAAGCCAATAGGTTTTCAGGGGCTGGAGCATCAAATTGCGTGACGAGCCCTTTTCATATAAATGGGGAATCAGAGTTTTTGAAAACACCTTTAAAAGACGTCGATCCCACAAAAATGCACCAACTGTAAAAACAGATGCAGATACCACGAAAGCGATCGCAGTCAGCTGAAAAATTGACAATCCAGTCCTTCTTGCTAGTGTTCGTGACTCAGATTTCAGATCTGGAAAAAGAATATAATCAGCTTATAACAAAGCTATTAATTCTAAAAAACTTCAATTACTTTGCTTCTGTTCAGCTCTTTTTAAATCAGCAACTTCTGATCAGGAAATTCTGCCCATCTCAGGCACAGGGGACGTCCCTTCTGGCAATTTGATAAGTTTTCACAAGGACAGAGAGTTAAAAGACGCGTTTATATAGGGAAGTAACCATTGTGGTCAGACACAATGAACGTAATTAAGGCAGACTTTAGAAGTGCCTTAGACTATCGACGTTGCCGTCACAGTTGAGCCTATTTTCTTTTATACTTACTCTTAATGCATCTACTTGATCAAACTTTGTAGAATGTTGATGTCTGTGTCGAAACATTAGTTTAAATACATACAGCTAAGAAGGCAAGATAGTGACCTCTGTGTCACACAAAAGCTAAATCCATGATTTTATTACCTAAATCATTCACATGTAAGTTGACCTCGATTGATGCCTTTTCCCCTGCTATGTTACTTGCAGCACACTGATATTTGCCCCCATCCTCCTTCTTTACTGTTTCTATAAACAGTTGGTAATAAGTGTTTTGGTGACGTCGATCTCGAGTGATCATTGTCCTTGAAGTAGATTGGACATCATATGAATTGTTATCCTTGATCCACCTGACGGTTGACTGAGGATGACCAGTGGTAATACAATTCAAAGTAACGTCAGAACCGATGACAACACTTATGTTCCACCGATCTTTAACAACTTGAGTTACAGTTTGAGTGCCTGATGGGTGGAAGTTGGTCCCTAGGGTGGATTGCGTTGAATGCCGATAATTGCCCCCTGTACGTGAGATGCTTGGCATGGGATGACTCTTGGCGGTGCAGATAAAAGTTACACTAAAACTGACAACAGCGCTTTGGTTTGTGAGATCTTCCACATTTTGAATAGGTTGGAGGTCTGAGGAATGACAATGAGGCAATTATTGTTGCTATGATAGCTGCAGGTTCCCAAACTCTCTTGCAAATAGACTAGAAGGAAGGAAGACACGCCTAAGGAGTGGCTTAAGGCAATTAAATAGCTGGAAACGAGTCCTTCCTATTTCCAAAGGTAGTTGGTAAGTGACAAATCAGCAGTTATTTCTCATATTTTAAAGCAGGAACGATCCTAAGTTGTTGCTGTCATTAAATTTCCCTTTCAAGTCAATTTATGCCTTTCTCTTCAATTTTTTGTCTTTTCTTTTCATTTTGTACGGTGATTTGTTCTCCATCTCACTATACTAATATTCTGTTACTCACTTCAGGTTGAAGGTAATTTTGTTTCATAACCTTCCTTTTGACGAGGAAAAGTTATAAAGCTTTTCGGATAAATCATCTGCACAGTTTTTAAGTATAAATTGTCATTTTCAGGCGCAAAAAATGAATGCCTCTTACCTAAATCCTCTGTGAATAAGGAAGACACTCTTGATACCCTTACTCCGGCGCTGTTAGTAGCCACGCAGTGGTATTTGCCACTGTCTTCCATCTTAGTTCCTGTTAACAAGAGCTGACTGCGAACGGTTTTGTTGTCTAACAAAATAACCTTCTCCTCTACCCTTGGGTTGGTTTGTAAAGCATATGGATCATCGTTCTTCACCCAAGAGATGGTTAGCCTGGGATAACCGGTGGCAGTACAATTGAAAATTACACTGGAATTGATAAAAGCACTTTCTGGTTCTTTGGATATTCAATAATTTGAATGTTTTGGGCTCCTGTAGAACAAAAGTGAGACAGTCGTTAAAGTTTATTTTTGTGAGAACAAAGATACATAAAGGATTTGTAACATTGAAGGTTGTTAAGGGTTGGTTCAAGTGAAGACAGGCGTCTAGACCCCCCTAACACTCGTTCTGTTGTATCGTCAACAGCTTGCGTAATACATAAGAAAAGGTCAGACATTCAGTTATTAGACACTGAGATCAAGAGCGAAAATGTCCTCTCGATTTATTTTCCATCAAATTTTATGTAGCCATATTTTTTTTTTACAATATTCCGTAAATATAAGAATTAAAATTTTGTGGCTTAAAGATCATTAACAACACCCAAGAAACTTAAAGCTAATATTAAGAATCTCATTTTGACATGACGTGATGGATTGCTGATAGAGTTGTTTCTTTTCTTTCCTTGGTTTTTTTACTCGACCCGTCTTACTCAAATATTTTTCATGATCTTTGTCCCGCTTTGTTATTTACCTTCAGGACGAATTTCGACTGATTCTCTCCTGCAGTGTGCACGATAACCACTTCCTGCTTCACACGTGTAGCTTCCAAGTTGATCTGCCGTTAGTTTTTCGATCATTAATGTGCATCTATGTTTTAACACCATGTGTCTACCTTGTACACATCTGTATCCAGTTGGCTTGTCCTGTGGATCGTACCACTGAATATACTCGGTCCATCGATCGTAATATCCTGCATCAATACTCCTGGGCTGCGCCGTACAAGTCAGGTTAACCGCAGTACCTACAGATAGTTCGTGCCTTGGTGGATTTATGGAAATCTCTACATCAGGTATTACTGGAGGAGGGAGAAAGATAGTCTATTAACATATGTAACATAAAGAATTTGGCATCGGCCATTATGAGCTTAAAAAGATAGATTGCCAGTCCGAGAAAAACCCAAAATACCTCCACTACTAACTGGTCAGTTTAGTGTTGCAATTCATGCCCGTGGCTTGATGGAGATTCAAGAGACCGCTTATCACTATAAGGACCACCAGAAAAGGTTTAGAAGCATCATCTGGCCAAGTATTGAATCCCATCAGTACACGTTAGCGAGTATCTGTGAGTCTTGTTCAAATAGCTTGTAAGGAATATTGATGGTGTAATAAAGAAAAAAATGTAGCATTTTTTAAAATAGTGAAATTTCATCGTCATGATCATAATCTCTTTTTTTAACACAAATAGTTGAGAAAAATTGCTGACGCCCGAGGAACGCAATAACGGTCAAATCGTTGAAATTTTTTCAAAAACAAGGAAAGAACGAAAGAAAACTAAAAACAACGACAAAAAAAAAAACACAGAATCGAATAGGGTCAAACTGAGTTGACTCTAATAACATGATTATGGTGAGCTAGGTTGATTATAGTAAGTAGATTATATTCGCTCAGTATGATACCTTTCTTTTTTAAGAATACCATGCAGTTACATTACCAATATTTTTTTATATCTTTTTGCTCTATTTTTGATTTTTCGAGTTAACATTTACTGTGTGTCAATTAAGAAATAAGCTTTGGACAGCCTTTGTAGTCTGGAAACACAGACAAGTTTGGGCGCTAATTGTACATGAGTTTAGCCTTTCTACTGGCAGCAGCACTAGAAACAGAAGCTTATGAAATCCTACACCTTGACTTTTGGTGACTTGCTTATTGTGGTAGCTAGTCTTCCACAAAAACTCAGCGAATATCATTGAAAGAAAAACAGGAAAAAACTACAACTTTGACAATCATTACGGTAGGGATTATTTGCTGTAAAAAGCCTTAAAGAAAAAGCTGACTGGCTATCAAGTGAACCTCAGTAAACCCAAATGTAGTTTTGACGGGTTTTGGCGCCCTTGTCGGTTTGTAATTAGCTTCGACGGCGATTTTCTTCTTTCATCTTCTCGTTCTTACTCAACAGATTAAGACGTCTTAATCGTCTATCAAAATACCCATTTATGGAAAGGTATGTCACGAGGTGCCTGATAAGTGCATTAATGTTCTGAAAAACACTGGCCCCAATTTTCTTTTTCGTTGTCTAATACTTGGTAAACAACGCAAACCACACTAAAAGATGCGTGGCATGCCACCAGGTTAATTTTAACGATTCCATGTTAGGTCTCATACCGCAAACTTAAAAAAAAAATACGAACAAGGTAAGAACTGACGAATTCTTAAAGCGAAGGAAGCCAAGAGTTAGTTTAAAGGAAAGATTTTGTTCAGCTCTGTAAAGTGGGATTTAGGGTTAGTGTGGAGAGAGATGAAAGTTATAATCAATTGTCGCGTGTGAGTCGGGCTCTTATCTTGACTGTCCTTAGTGCTCCGGGAAAGTAGTGCTGAAGCTTCCTTGAATTACTGGTTTTATTCTCCAACCTACAAAAAGTATCATTTTTTTAACTCGTGAATTGCGCGCATGCGCAAGAGCGAGGTATAGATACGATGTGGGGAATGCCATTTGCTCGCTCGCTCGATTGGTCGATTCCTGTAAACTTTTTTTAGATTTTAGGCATTTGAGTGCATTTGATAGTTTTTGGCGAGCAATAAACAGACGAAATGGCGACCTTTGTTGCTAAGAATAGTGGTGGGGTGAAAAAGAAGCCAACGATAATCTTAAAAAAGTTTTTTTTTGTTCGTTTTAGTTTCAACAAGCGATGCCAGCGACTGGCAGACATGCAAGGATTCACACTGAAATAACAGAACAACCTTCGTTTTTCATAGAATTGCAATTTACAATCCTTGAACTTGAAAACAATCCGAAGATTCATTGAAAATATCACTTACTGCGAAGCGCTCGGAGTTACAGATGTAAGAGTACAGATGTTCAAAAGCTTTTTCTGTTATGGCGTGAGATTGAGGACAAAATTGATCATTACGTTGCGTCGCGTGTGTTTTTCCTGTATGAAGCAACAAAAGATGCCGGCGACTGACGAAATAACAAGTTAACACGAAAATCAAATAACACCTAAACAAACAATTTTAGCTACCAATTTTCAGTGAATTTTTTAAGAACAATTTTCTTTTAAGTTTCAAGACAATTTGAAGATTCAACATACATACAACGTACTAAAATGCGAAAGTTACACACCACAAAATTGATAAATAGGCCTGAAATGAAATTCTATCTTGTTATTGATTATACGTTGCCTAGCACGTGACTTAAATCTACCCAAGAGGAGATCCAGGCTTGGCTTAGTTATATCACTCAAAACTCGTTCCCGTTTGTCTCATTTGATAAAGAGGGAATCGTTAATGTTTTCATTAAGACAGTATTGCCTTGATTTTCTAATATTTACAACGAAAGACAATAAATTTCACTTTTCACCCACATTTACTTCCAACCTTTTCTTTTGAACCAGAAACAAAAATGATAGACGTTTAAAACACTTGACATCATCCACCTTGTCAAATGTAATAGCATGATCATTTCAATTGTAATGCCTTCTTATCCCAACGTTACTTTGTTTCTTTGCTACATTAGCGAACACTGAACTACTGCTCGTACTCTAGATATGACAATCAACCACAAAATTCCCTAAACCAGATAACATTAAACATAGTCTAAAAAATCATGTGTCAATTCACGAGTTTGCTCACAAAGCACTTTGATTCGAGAAGTGGGCATGGAACGCTCTGGATAATTTCGGTTGTTTGTCAAGGATTACTACGTTACAATCCGGTAATTAAACCGTCAGGCAGATTTTTCAGGCGCCAATCTACCACGTACATCGTAACTCAACGCTCCGGCTGTCTTTTTTATCAATTCCAAATCATAGCTTTTACTATAAAATTTTGGGCGAATTAGCCTTCATTACAATGTAATCTGGAGAGTAAGTGACATGGTGTTATGACAGGAATAAGAGTGATAGCAGAGCAAGCTTGAAATGGCAGAAATCGCCGGAAACTACGATGGACAGACAAGATATGCTTAAGTTCTATTGATTTTACATGTAGAATGTTCATATTTCGAAATATTTATCGCTGTAAATCGACCGCATTTCGCTCCCCATGCCATTCCTTGTAACGTGTTCAAATTCTCAAAGGTTCCTTTCGTAACTTAACACCGAGTCACACAACGCGTGATGCTTTCATGAATTACTCGTTTGCTTCTACTCGAGACGCGAGCTTGGGCTGCCTGTGTTATCTGAAGCAAAAATTCAATGGTTATGTGGGACGGTCAAAAAACAACTCAAGTTCTTAGTGGGTGTATGAACATGCCGTTTTATTCTCAACGGGGCATAACCATACCTTTTATTTTATAAGAAAGAACCCACGACCCGCATAAAAACCTAACAACGAAGATCAGTAAATACACCAGCAAAAATTGTAAAAAGCTTGTGACTGCGTTTATTTCCTTTGCAAAGGTCCGCTTGTTAGAGATTCGCCCAAGTAAACGAAAGCTTTCACTGACATGTTTGTTTGGATCGAAGGCTTTTAACACCCATCAAGATGGAGGTCAAATGATCATCAAAAGCGATTTTTTTGACACAGCCAGTATATTTTTCTTCGCTAAATATGTTCAGCTCTTTACTATGGAGATGGGAAAATATTGAGGAAACTTTGGCGCTCTACAGTGGAAGAGTCGCATACTTCGGGATTGTGGAAGGATTAAACAGGCTAAATCGTACCTCCTAAGAGATCCACGATGTAAATTATCTCGTCAATAAGTATGCAAGTTGAGATGTAATGCAATCTTTGCTCTGGCATCCTTAGAACTCGTTCAGCTTATCAAAATAAGCAAACATAAGTCCGGATAGCGTAATACACATGTGGACTGAGAATCCACCCACTCTTTGCACGCTTGAGGTAGAGTTCTTTTGATTTCTAAGGCGTATATTTTTTTCTAAGATATATATAAAGCGCTATTTCTCCTCTCTCCGTAAGGACTGGACATTAAAAAGTGGTGGAAGACGTAAATGTCTTTAATTGAAATTCAGCACTCTGATTCCAACCTTTCCGTTTGGACGAAAAGCTCCTGTTTTCGGGGATCATTTTTTCCAATGCTCTTCCTTTTTAGCTCACTCATGCTGGAAGCAATGAATGAGATATTGTGGTGAAGAAGATGTTGAAGCAAGTTGTCGACCGTGAATGGAAGTTGTATTTCGTAAACGGAAGTTGCATTGTGGACCGTGAACGGAAGTGGTCTCGCGTGTTACCCCGCCCCCACTTAGTGAAAGTCAAAATTAATTTCGATGAACTCAAAAACTCACATGGAAAGAAATAAAATGTTTGTTTGGTTTAATAAAAATAATAACCTCAAATCGCGTTTCCGAACTTCTAAAAATGCAACTTGTAACGAGAAGCCGAAATGTTCACACCTAATTTCTACAGGGAAAAGCGAAGCGTTGGTTTCGTGACTGGCCATTTGTTTACTTTTCTGGTAGTTTTATCCCTCATCTGTTTGGTGACTACGCAAATATTAATATGTGAAAATCAGACTGCATGAAGGCTTGAAGTTCTATTAAGAACGATCGTGGCCGTTTTGTTTAAAATCAAATGCAGTGGCCACTTTGTTAAAAACAAGAGATATCAAGAAACGGGAAAGGAATATTTCATAATAGTGCAAATGATTGTAAAAGATGAGGGTTGCTAATATTTGCTGTTAGAGCAACATTTGATGCCTGATTATGCCCACCGGCCCACCCCGTCCCACAAACACATACACACACCAACAAAAAGGATACTGTCTGCCTAATGACCTCTACTCATCCTACCTCCAGCGCACGCAACGGCTTTTTTCCAATTCCCATCGCGAAGAATGCACACGTTTTCTTATCATACAACTGACCCCAAAATAAAAGAAATTTATTCTAAAGTCTTAAAAAATCTTATAAACGGAATTCAACTGTACCTATATTCAACAAGTCCAAGAAATCAATATAAACTTAAGCCATGATATGAATGAGCTGGTTCCAAGAGCCTTTTGATTGCTTTTGTTTTGTTTTGTTTTTTTCCCTTTCCACTGACGAATGAAAATGTTTTTTCTGCTTCACTAAAAGTATTTTTAGCACGATTCTTTCTTGCTCGTGTCCAACCTTCCCCCTTTATATTTCAAAGGGTTGAAATCTCTGGCTCCATAACTCTATGCTCGAGAGGCTATCTCATCAGATATTTGGCAATGTTTCATACAAGATTTAGAGGGAGTTATAGTTTTCGAGCTAAGCTCGAGAAGACACTCGCGTAACTTGCTTGGTTCTTTCTAAATGCTTCGTAACTTACTTAGTTCTTTTAGAATGCTTAGTCAAGACCCATTCCATTCCAGCCGTGGAATTGCATATCTTGAAATGGACACGATTGACTGCTCATTGCTTCCGCTTCGTTTCCGTTTCCTTCAGCGGTAATGATCGTTCATCATTAACCAAATTTCTTAGTCTGAAAATTTAAACCTTTCCACGGTTTTTGCTTCTTGGCCCATTTTGCTTACCGAGAAACCCTTTTCTCACCGTAAAAGGGTATTTTCACCGTTGATTGACAAGTAAGCTTAGAGATGTCAAGAAACAATGATTTTATCATCATATTATCCGACCCGAAAGTGATTGTTTGGAGAAATGTCACAAGCTTGGGACATTTGGGAATTATTGGTTCACGTGATGGCCTCGCTCATTATTGAGTCTACGTGGCTCAATGGTAGAGGTTCGGAGCATGGAATCTGAAAGTGTGAGTTTCGATCCCTCTTGGGGACTCGCAGATGTTTTCTTTGTCCTAACTCCGTGACGAGACAGATAAACATTTCAGTCTGTTCTTTATTAATAATGTTGTTCTGTCGAAAGAGGGAACTCTCTTAGGCGATCAAATAACCATTTGATAACCATCTAACAACCATTTTCAGAGTGACACATTAGTAATGACTGATAATTCGACAAAATAGGCGGAAGTCCTCATCAAAGTCAATTGACTCTGATAACAATGATGATGACAGTCTTCTCTGGATTACTCTAGCCCGGACGACCAGTTTACACGATCAGAAAGTTATTCTTGGGTTCACACAATTTACTGTGGAACTAAGATATTTCACCAATAATGGTCAAATACAGTGTTCCCCTATTAACTTCTCCACCTTTGGTGCATTGTCTAATATTACGCCTTAACTGCTCAGTTCACCCTTACTCCGAATTACCTTATTTTCTTGTATAAATTGCGTGAACTTCATTTTCGCTTTAATCGATTGTTCGCACCTTTGGTCCTGGTTTTATCCGCCACTTTCTTCACTGTATGCCATTTGTTTTTCTGGTCGATCAGGTGTCTTAATCAAGTCATAGGGTCGAAAAGTTCATTTCGAAAGCTCAAAGAAAATTTCACTGGTCTGATTTTCATTTCTGATGCTCTGGAAGCGCGGGTAACATCTTTAGGATCTAAATATCTCCAATTAATCATTCCTGTTCAGTCGTATCCATAAATTCCTTTTCAAGAAAGTTATATGCTTTTTTTATGATCGTGCAACGGAGTCAATTTTCGTAGTTGTTTTTGTCGACTTACTTACTTACTTTTCAATGTTCAGTGGGTACTTAGCCGTTTCGTTCGCATTTCGGCTACAAATATTTCTACAAATAGTTTTCTCTCATTTGATTATCGTCATTGCGTTGTCAGTGTTGGGAATTCTTAAATACCAACGACAGCCACACTTGTTGATTAAAAAGAATGTTATAACTTACTGAAATGCTCTGAATCGATCGATCAATCCAGAATTGACAAATAACGTTTTACCCTAGGCATGAAATAACAGAAGAAAAAGTGCTAAGAAATTTAGCGAGATCAACAGTAGTCCTTCAATCAAAAGCGTAAATTTCTTGATATACATGAGAAGTTCAGAAAACAAATCAGTGTTGTCTGAGGAAACATGTGAACGCGCTCTTTCACCATCACACCCTTTCTTTCCTTGTTCCTCGTTTTGTCCGCCTCTCTTCTCGCCGTTTGAAGTCTGCAGGTCTGATTTTCATTTCTGTTGTTTTGGGAGTGCGAGTAGGATCGTCAAGATCTAATTTTCCCCAATGAATTTTTCCGTTTTCTTTGCTTTCATAAATTCCGTTTAGATTTGAACGAATAATACAGTCTTCCGGGAACCACCAGCTGGAATGCTTTTGATCCCAGGTTCTAAACTTTGAGCCATTATGATCACGGAGAGAATCCTTGACAGTCGCACCTGTTAAAAAAGTACGATCCACTCATAAATTACTTGAAACTTTTGCGCAATTTTTGTTAAGATGAAAAAAAAATGGGAAAAAAGATTTTTTTATCTCGAGAAGATGAGTGAGTAAAAAAAGTGAAAAGAAAAACGTGAATCTGAGCATTGCGACATTGAGCTTTAATACTTGCATTACAGGTCAGATTTTCAGACCCTTTGCTGAGTCAGGGACTCGTTAAAGGACATACTACACGAAATCTATTCATTAGTGTAACACGCATATATACATGCGGTAATATGCTCACAAAGTGCTTAGTCTAGACGAAAACGTATACAAGAAAAAATAGTCGAGGTGATTTATTGTTAAAAAGCTCATATGAGGCTAACTTAGACGGCTATAACTGAGCTGTTCAGTGTAGTCATTTTGTTGATACTCGATGGACCAAATTCATCTTCTTTAGCCTCTAACTTTGATTTCAAGACCGGGAAAACCAGTCAAGTCCCGAGAGTAAGAGATCTCAATCGTTTTTTCTGTCGACTGATAGATACTACAATCATTTTCTTTTTCTTTTTCCCCAGAGGGTCGTATCCTTTTGCTTCACTGTTTCATTTATTGTCATGCAACGAAGCTACTTGTCATTAATTGTTGCTTTTATTGACTTACTTGCCAAATTGCCAATGTTCAGCTGGTACTCAGCCGTTTCGTTCGCAATTCCAAACCATTTATATTCAGCGTAAACAATTGTTTTAGAATCGACCCCCAGATCCACTCTAAGCCTGTTGTTTTTATTCTTTTTAGTCAGCCGGAGGATCTTATCCAGTCCAAGCCAAAATTCACCATCGAGGAAACTTCCAAAACCATGTTTGTAGTCAGCCCAACTGCGGTTGAAATCAACGGAACCAGTTAATCTTCTCTGGAACACTGTCCAGCCTCCACCGTCTGTTGTCTGGTCACAGTATACATCAAAGGCTTGTGAGTTGTCAGGTTTGATTGTATAAATACCATTGATTCTCTGACACGATTTGTGCAGCTCAGCACAATTTTTAACTGTTGAATAAAAATACGAAAGTTTCGTCAACAAAGTTGCACGTAAATGAGCAGAATGGAAATAAAAAAGCCGAGGATCGTAGATGAGAAAGGAATCTGACTTCCGTCGACCACATCCAAATGCCTGTGTGTGACGATTGTCTTTGAGTCAATTTTGATTTGCCTAAGTTTTAGTACGCAACCTCGCACAGTATGACTTGTCTACACAACTGCCTGCAACTGATGAAATTGATGCAGAGAAATCGAACTAGTGGTAATTTAGCTCTTCATCACTATGGTGTAAGAAGGTAATCTTACTTACATGTACACGCTGAAGATGAGATTAGAATCACCAACAGTATTGGCCCGAACAGCCAATTGGAAACTCTGAAAAGGGAATTCATCTTATATAATGTGAAGCTCTCTCTTGCTTTAAGCAACGAAAGGTTATAACATGTAACAGTGACAGACTGAAGAAACACCGTCATTTATAGTCTGGATTGGAATTGATTGGCTATTTAGGCCATTACTGAAAAAGCTATTTATGGGGGTGTACGAACCTGGTAAACATCCCAACTCAGTGAAAGAGTATTCAGAATTGTCTGGGTCGACCACACACCTTTCCGTGGGCGATGCGCTTAAGTGGGGCAGAATTTGGGGCAGTGGCTTTGACGAATTACCGGTCGGAAGAATGAAACATCTTACAAGAAAAATTTATCTCAATTTGATCCCTACAATCAATTAGCGTTTGAAACTCTGACCATAACCAAGAAGTTGTGCATTGTCGGCTATTGTCGAAAGAATATTTCGTATTAAAAGTCACAAGAAAGTGCTCTTGTTGACTGTTGTGCTGATAATCGAATACCTATGTTGTGTTACATTGAAAAATATATATATTGCTGGTATTTAATAATTAGCAATAGTTATTATTTGATTGAGTTCTCCCACATCATTTCCTCTGCTTGATAATTTGACATTAATCGTTACCGCGGGATTATAAACTGGGTCATAAGGAAAAAGTTATCTCAGTTTATAATTTCTTGTCATCACGAATACGCCACCGCCAGGAGTTTTGTGATGTTGAACTTTCCAGAGTTATGCTTAAAGTGGGTGTTAATTCCTTTTAATAGCTAAACACTTGTCTAATTGTTAGAAAGATACTTAATCAGCTGCATTGTTATTCTGATACCTCGACTGAAGGGTTTAGGGTCCAAAAATCACCTGATGTGATTGTCCAAGGGCAATTGTTAGCAGACAGAAGTTTGGATAACTTGAGCTAAATAATATTATTTCTTCCTGACAAAAAAAACACACAAGGGTAATAAGGGTAGTAATAATTGCTCCATTTTTCGTTCCATGATAACACTCCATACAAGTTGGGAATTTTTTTCCGAGGTCGTTTCCTCTCACATAAACTAGACCTACAATTCATAAATATGTAGCAACTGCTTCACTCTTTCTTTTTATGAACATCATCCTTGAGCGCACGAGTAGACATATTTTCTTAAGTGTGCTATTAAGTTCATCAAAGTGCTACCCACGCGAAGATTACGTTTTTCATAGAGAATTTACATGAAATACTAAAGATCAGAGATTACACATAAGGTTAGGACTTTTGCGTGCAAATGTCTTGTTACTGTCTGTTAATTTGCCGGAATAAATCAATTTGACCCGACTACAAAACGGAAGTGAATTAAAACCCTTAAAGTGCTCGTAATTCAATTAAAGACATAAAAAGGTCCAAAAGAGATGGAGAACATTATGGGGAAGTTCTTTATGACAGTGGTCGACTTCCGGGACATTTCAACATCAAAACAGCCCAACAAGAAGCTAGATAATTTCTCCCGCTAAAAATATCTTAGTTTTATTTTCTTGAAAAAACAACAAAGAAACAAACAAACATACAAAAAAACCAATTTATGTGGCATGGCTTTGTGATTCGCGTGTTTCACTTTCGTCTGGGGTTAGGCATGATTTCCGCCGTTGTTTCTAGAGGAGGAACCGGAGTGTGGGCTCGAACAATACTTAATAACCCAGCTTATCATAGCAGGAATATTTCATCTTTTAGTCAGCAAGAATGATGAAATCTTAGGCTCGGCTCATCTTTCGTTACTTTCTTGCTTAACGGGAAAGATTAAAGAGATCAAGTGTCTAATCCTGATATCACTGACCGTTTTTTATGCCTTAAGGGCAGAAGTCTGGAATGAAGTAACTTTGCAGAATTCAGAATGATGTCGCTCTTATCATGGTTGTTACTAAAGACTAAACGTTCTCCCGTCTGTTTTCTTCCTTTCGTAGTCTTAGTAAAATCGATGCTTGACATACAAAGAGATCCTACATTTTTTAATAACCCTTTTGGTGGTCTTTAGTAGATATAACTCAGTCATTCGTTTACACTTGTGCGGTCAAGTGTGAACATCACTCGGTCAGTTTCTCTCATATCTTTCTCTCAATATCACTCCGCAACTTGCCGTTATTGAAATATTATCTGGTTTGTTGTGCAGACTTATACAGTCACTTGGAAATTTTACTCTGTCAGCTGTCCACACTTCGTTTTAGTCAGCTGCACACACTTCGTTTTAGTCAGCTGCAAAAATTAGCTAGTTTATACTTTATATTTGCTAAAATGTAGACATCACTCCAGTAGCTTGTTTTATCATATGACACGGAAACGGTCATAGGCCGTGTATTTTTGTTCACGAAAGCTAACAAACTACTTGCTAACCTATGACCAATACTCCTTAGTACAGCCCTCACACTCGGTTAGTAAGAAGTTGGTATTGACTTATTCGATTGGTTGCTATCATAATACTCTGTCAGTTGTAATAAATAATTAGCTTGGTTACACTGTCTGTTGTAAAAAATAAATAGCTTGACTTTTCTGTCCGTTGTTTGCACTTATTTGGTCGGTTGTAATCTTGATAAGGCAATTTAGTATTACCAACTGAGTTGAGAACGTAAGTTGGCCACCGTTGACTTGAGAGTTTCAAAGATGACGTTTTGAGGGTAAGTACTTCGCCACAGAAAATGACGAAGGGCTAACGAAGGGCTAACGAAGGGCTAACGAAGGGCTAACGAAGGGCTAACGAAGGGCTAACGAAGGGCTAACAGAGGGCTAACAGAGGACTTACGCTCGAAGCGTAAGCTTTAAAACTCTTTGCAGTGGCCAATTTACGTTACCGACTCATTTGGTAACACAAAATTAAGATGTAAGTCACTCTTAGGGGTCAAAGGCGTAACGCACTGATTTGGTCGTTTACAAAATTTATTCTGTCATTTGTGTGACTCATTTGATTTAGTGGGTTGTAAAAACTAACGCTTCAAACGCTTCTGGTCGTCTTCCTATAACTAGCAGAGCTGTTTTATTCGTGTCAGACTAGATTTCCTTTTCTTTCTCCCAACAGAGAGGCGGTAGCTGCACCCCTCGCTTGCCAGTACAATTAGACCACTGATTGACTCTCTGACTTTTGGAGGAGGCTCATGGATATGGACTTGCTGATCTGTGAGAGGCAAATAGGAAGTAGTTAAATACAAAGTCAAAGAGACTAGCAGTGATTTAAATGGTTGAAGGCCCATGCTAACTAAAGGAAGCAAAAAGTGTCATCTAATTATGTGTAATTACTGTTATTTCTGTTTGAAGCCAATAGGTTTTCAGGGGCTGGAGCATCAAATTGCGTGACGAGCCCTTTTCATATAAATGGGGAAACAGAGTTTTTGAGAATACGTTTAAAAGACGTCGATCTCACAAAAATGCACCAACTGCAAAAACAGATGCAGATACCACGAAAGCGATCGCAGTCAGCTGAAAAATTGACAATCCAGTCCTTCTTGCCAGTGTTCGTGATTCAGATTTCAGATCTGGATTTGCTTCTTTTCAGCTCTTTTTAAATCACCAACTTCTAATCAGGAAATTCTGCCCATATAGGGCACAGGGGAAGTCCCTTCTAACAATTTGATAAGTTTTCACAAGGACAGAGAGTTAATAGACGCGTTTATATAGGGAAGTAACCATGGTGGTCAGACACAAAGAACATAATTAAGACAGACTTTAGAAGTGCCTGAGACTATCGAAGTTGCCGTCACAATTGAGCCTATTTTCTTTTATTCTTACTCTTAATGCATCTATTTGATCAAACTTTGTAGAATGTTGATGTCTGTGTCGAAACATTAGTTTAAATAAATACAGCTAAGAAGGCAAGATAGAGACCTCTGTGTCACACAAAAGCTAAATCCATGATTTTATTACCTAAATCATTCACACGTAAGTTGACCTCGATAGATGCCTTTTTCCCTGCTATGTTACTTGCAGCACACTGATATATGCCCCCATCCTCCTTCTTCACTTTTTCTATAAACAGTTGGTAATGAGTGTTTTGGTCACGTCGATCTCCAGTGATCATTGTCCTTAAAGTAGATTGGACATCATATGAATTGTCGTTCTTGATCCACCTGACGGTTGACTGAGGATGACCAGTTGTAATACAATTCAAAGTAACGTCAGAACCGATGACAACACTTAGGTTTCACCGATCTTCAACAACTTGAGTTACAGTTTGAGTGCCTGATGGGTGGAAGTTGGTCCCTGGAGTGGATTGCGTTGAATGCCGATCATTGCCCCCTGTACATGAGATGCTTGGCTTGGGATGACTCTTGGCGGTGCAGATAAAAGTTACACTAAAACCGACAACAACGCCTTGGTTCGTGAGATCTTCCACATTTTGAATAGGTTGCAGCTCTGAGGAATGACAATGAGGTAATTATTGTTGCTATGATAGCTGCAGGTTCGCAAACTCTCTTGCAAATAGACTAGAAGGAAGGAAGACACGCCTAAGGAGTGGCTTAAGGCAATTAAATAACTGGAAACGAGTCCTTCCTATTTCCAAAGGTAGTTGGTAAGTGATAAATCAGCAGTTATTTCTCATATTTTAAAGCAGGAACGATCCTAAGTTGTTGCTGTCATTAAATCTCCCTTTCAAGTCCATTTATGCCTTCCTCTTCAATTTTTTGTCTTTTCTTTTCATTTTGTACGGTGACTTTTGGTAATTTTGTTTCATAACCTTCCTTTTGACGAGACAAACTTATAAAGCTTTTCGGATAAATCATCGGCACAGTTTTTAAGAATAAATTGTCATTTTCAGGTGCAAAAGATGAATGCCTCTTCCCTAAATCCTCTATTAATAAGGAAGACACAGTTGATACCCTTTCTCCGGCGCTGTTATGAGCCACGCAGTGGTATGTGCCAATGTCTTCCATCTTAGTTCCTGTTAACAAGAGCTGACTGCGAACGGTTTTGTTGTCTAACAAAAGAACCTTCTCCTTTACCCTTGGGTTGGTTTGTAAAGCTTGTGGATCATCGTTCTTCACAAGAGATGGTTGGCCTGGGATTACCGGTGGCAGTGCAGTTGAAAATTACGTTGGAATTGATAAAAGCACTTTGGTTCTTTGGATATTCAATAATTTGAATGTTCTGGGCTCCTGTAGAACAAAATTGAGACAGTCGTTAAAGTTTATTTTTGTGAGAACAAAGATACATAAAGGATTTTTAACATTGAAGGTTGTTAAGGGTTGGTTCAAGTGAAGATGGCGTCTAGACCCCCCTAACACTCGTTCTGTTGTATCGTCAACAGCTTGCGTAATACATAAGAAAAGGTCAGACATTTAGTTATTAGACACTGAGATCAAGAGCGAAAATGCCCTCTCGAGTTATTTTCCATCAAATTTTATGTAGCCATATTTTTTTTACAATATTCCGTAAATAAAGAATTAAAATTTTGTGGCTTTAGGTCGTTAACAACACCCAAGAAACTTACAGCTAATAATAAAAATCTCATTTTGACATGACGTGATGGACTGCTGATAGAGTTGTTTCTTTTCGTTTTTTTTACTCGACCCGTCATACTCAAATATTTTTCATGATCTTTGTCCTGCTTTGTTATTTACCTTCAGGACGAATTTCGACTGATTCTCTCCTGCAGTGTGCACGATAACCATTTTCTGCTTCACACGTGTAGCTTCCAAGTTGATTTGCCGTCAGTTTTTCGATCATTAATGTGCATCTATGTTTTAACACCATGTGTCTACCCTGTACACATCTGTATCCAGTTGGCTTGTCCTGTGGATCGTACCACTGAGTATACTCGGTCCATCGATCGTAATATCCTGCATCAATACTCCTGGGCTGCGCCGAACAAGTTAGGTTAACCGCAGTACCCACAGATAGTTCGTGCCTTGGTGGATTTATGGAAATCTCTACATCAGGTATTACTGGAGGAGGGAGAAAGATGGTCTATTAACATATGTAACATAAAGAGTTTGGCAGCGGCTATTCTGAGCTTAAAAAGATAGATTGCCAGTCCGAGAAAAACCCAGAATACCTCCACTACTTACTGGTAAGTTTAGTGTTGCAATTCATGCCCGTGGCTTAAGGGAGATTCAAGAGAGCGCTCGTCACTATAAGGACCACCAGAATAGGTTTAGAAAGATCATCTGGCCAAGTATTGAATCCCATCAGTACACGTTAGCGAGTATCTGTGAGTCTTGTTCAAATAGCCTGCAAGGAATATTGATCGCGTAATAATGAAAAAAATGTAGCATTCTTAAAATAGTGAAATTTCATCGTCATGATCATAATCTCTTTTTTTAACACAAGTGGCTGAGAAAAATTGCTGACGCCCGAGGAACGTAATAACGGTCAAATCGTTGAAATTTTTTTCAAAAACATGGAAAGAACGAAAGAAAACCAAAAAAAAAACAAACAAACAAAAACAAAAAAAAAACACAGAATCGAATAGGGTCAAACTGAGTTGACTGTAGTAACATGATTATGGTGAGCTAGGTTGATTATAGTAAATAGATTATATTCGCTCAGTTTGATAACTTTCTTTTTTAAGAATATCATGCAGTTACATTACCAATATTTTTTATATCTTTTTGCTCTATTTTTGATTTTTCGAGTTAACATTTACTGTGTGTCAATTAAGAAATAAGCTTTGGACAGCCTTTGTAGTCTGGAAAACACGGACAAGTTTGGGCGCTAATTGTACATAAATGTAGCCTTTGTACTGGCAGCAGCATTAGAAACAGAAGCTTATGAAATCATACACCGTGACTTTTGGTGACTTGCTTATTGTGGTAGCTAGTCTTCCACAAAAACTCAGCGAATATCATTGATTAGCTTCGACGGCGATTTTTTTCTTTCATCTTCTCCTTCTTACTCAACAGATTAAGACGTCTTAATCGTCTATCAAAATACCCATTTATGGAAAGGTATGTCACGAGGTGCCTGATAAGTGCATTAATGTTCTGAAAAACACTGACCCCAATTTTCTTTTTCGTTGTCAAATACTTGGTAAACAACGCAAACCAGACTAAAAGATGCGTGGCATGTCGCCATGTTAATTCTAATGATTCCATGTTAGGTTACATACCACAGACTTAGAAACAAAATACGAACCAGGTAAGAACTGACGAATTCTTAAAGCGAAGAAAGCTCAGAGTAAGTTTAGAGGAAAGATTTTGTTCAGCTCTGTAAAGTGGGATTTAGGGTTAGTGTGGAGAGAGATGAAAGTTATAATCAATTGCCGCGTGTGAGCCGGGCTCTTACCTTGACTGTCCTTAGAGCTCCGGGAAAGTACTGTTAAAGCTTCCTTGGATTACTGGTTTTATACTCCAACCTACAAAAAGTATCATTTTTCGAGAAGTGGGCATGGGACGCTCTGGATGATTTCGGTTGTTTGTCAAGGATTACTATGTTACAATCCGGTAATTGAACCGTCAGGCAGCTTTTTCAGGCGCCAATCTACCACGTATATCGTAACTCAACGCTCCGGCTGTCTTTTTTATCAATTCCAAATCATAGCTTTTACTTTAAAATTTTGGGCGAATTAGCCTTCATTACAATGTAGTCTGGAGAGTAAGTGACATGGTGTTTTGACAGGAATAACAGTGACAGCAGAGCAAGCTTGAAATGGCAGTTATCGCCAGAAACTACGATGGACAAACAAGATGTGCGTAAGTTCGCTCCTCATGATGTTCCTTGTAACGTGTTCAAAATTCTCAAAGGTTCCTTTCGTAACTTAACACTGAGTCACACAACTCGTGACGCTTTCATGAATTACTCGTTTGCTTCTACTCGAGACGCGAGCTTGGGTTGCCTGTGTTATCTGAAGCAAAAATTCAATGGTTATGTGGAACGGTCAAAAAACAGCTCAAGTTCTCAGTGGGTGTATGAATATGCCGTTTTATTCTCAACGGGGCATAACCATACCTTTTATTTTATAAGAAAGAACCCACGACCCGCATAAAAACCTAACAACGAAGATCAGTAAATTAGGTGCCTCAGTACTCCAACAAAAATTGTAAAAGGCTTGTGACTGTGTTTATTTCCTTTGCAAAGGTCCGCTTGTTAGAGATTCGCCCACGTTAACGAAAGCTTTCACTGACATGTTTGTTTGGATCGGAGGCTTTTAACACCCATAAAGATACAGGTCAAATAATCATCAACAGCGATTTTGTTGACACAGCCAGTATATTTTTCTTCTCTAAATATGTTCAGCTCTTTACTATGGAGATAGGAAAATTTTGAGGAAAATTTGGCACTCTACAGTGGAAGGGTCGCATACTTTGGGATTGTGGAAAGATTAAACAGGCTAAATCGTACCTCCCAAGAGATCCACGATGTAAATTATCTCGTCAATAAGTATGCAAGTTAAGATGTAATGCAATCTTTGCTCTGGCATCCTTGGAACTCGTCCAGCTTATCAAAATAAGCAAACATAAGTCCGGATAGCGTAGTACACATGTGGACTGAGAATCAAACCACTCTTTGCACGCTTGAGGCAGAGTTCTTTTGATTTCTAAGACGTATATTTTTTTCTAAGATGTATATAAAGCGCTATTTTTCCTCTCTCCGTTAGGACTGGACATTAAAAAGTAGTGAAGGACGTAAATGTCTTTAATTGAAATTCAGCACTCTGATTCCAACCTTTCCGTTTGGACGAAAAGCTCCTGTTTTCGGGGATTGTTTTTTCCAATGCTCTTCCTTTTTAGCTTATTCATGCTGGAAGCTATGAATGAGGTATTGTGGTGAAGAAGATGTTGAAGCAAGTTGTCGACCGTGAATGGAAGTTGTATTTCGTAAACGGAAGTTGCATTGTGGACCGTGAACGGAAGTAGTTTCGCGTGTTACCCCGCCCCCACTTAGTGAAAGTCAAAATTAAATTTCGATGAAGCTCAAAAACTCACGTGGAAAGAAATAAAATGTTTGTATGGTTTAATAAAAATAATAACCTCAAATCACGTTTCCGAACTTCTAAAAATGCAACTTGTATCGAGAAGCCGAAATGTTCACACCTAATTTCTACAGGGAAAAGCGAAGCGTTGCTTTCTTGACCGGCCATTTGTTTACTTTTCTGGTAGTTTTATCCCTCATCTGTTTGGTGACTACGCAAATATTAATATGTGAAAATCAGACTGCATGAAGGCTTAAAATTCTATTAAGAACGATTGTGGCCGCTTTGTTTAAAATCAAATGCAGTGACCACTTTTTTAAAAACAAGAGACATCATGAAACGGGCAAGGAATGTTTCATAATAGTGCAAATGATTGTGAAAGATGAGGGTTACTAATATTTTGTTGTTAGAGCAACATTTGATGCCTGATTATGACCACCGGCCCACCCCCCCGCCTCACAAACACACACACACACCAACAAAAAGGACACTCTACTCATCCCACCTCCAGCCCACACAACGGCTTTTTTCCAATTCCCATCGCGAAGAATGCACACGTTTTCTTATCATACAAATGCCCCCAAAATAAAAGAAATTTATTCTATAAGTCTTAAAAAATCACATAAACCGACTTCAACTTTACTTATATTCAGGAAGTCCAAGAAATCAATATAAACTTAAGCCATGATATGAATGAGCTGGCTCCAAGAGCCCTTTGATTGCTTTTGTTTTGTTTTGTATTTTTTCCCTTTCCGGTAACAAATAAAAATGTTATTTTCTGCTTCACTAACAGTATTTTTAGCACGATTTTTTCTTGCTCGTGTCCAACCTTCTCCCTTATATTTCAAAGGGTTGAAATCTCTGGCTCCATAACTCTATACTTGAGAGGCTATTTCATTAGATATTTGGCAATATTTCATACAAGATTTAGAGGGAGTTAATAGTTTTCCAGCTAAGCTCGAGACGACACTCGCGTAACTTGCTTGGTTCTTTCAAAATACTTCGTAACTTACTTAGTTCTTGTAGAATGCTTAGTCAAGACCCATTCCATTCCAGCCGTGGAATTGCATATCTTGAAATAGACACGATTGACTGCTCATCGCTTCTGCTTCGTTTCCGTTTCCTTCAGCAGTAAGTATCGTTCATCATTTACCAAATTTCTTAGTCTGACAATTGAAACCTTTCCACGGTTTTTGCTTCTTGGCCCTTTGTACTTACCGAGAAAGCCTTTTCTCACTGTAAAAGGGTATTTTCACTATAGGTTGACACGTAAGCTTATAGATGTCAACAAACAATGATTTTATCATCATATTATCCGACCCGATAGCGATTGTTTAGAGAAATGTCACAAGCTTTGGACATTTGGGAATTATTGGTTCTCGTGATGGCCTCGCTCACCATTGAGTCTACGCGGCTCAATGGTAGAGCTTCGGAGCATGGAATCTGCAGGTGTAAGTTTCGATCTCTTTTGGGGACTCGGAGATGTTTTCTTTGTCCTAACTCCGTGACAATACAGATAAACATTTCAGTCTGTTTTTTATTAGTAATGTTGTTCTGTCGAAAGAGGGAACTCTCTTAAGCGATCAAAAACCATTTGATAACCATCTAATAACCATTTTCAGAGTGACACATTAGTAATGACCGACAATTCGACAAAATAGGCGGAAGTCCTCATTAAAGTCAATTGACTTTGATAACAGTGATGACGACAGTCTTCTCTGGATTACTCTAGCCCAAACGACCAGTTTACACGATCAGAAAGTTATTCTTGGGTTCACAGAATTTACCGGTGGAACTAAGATATTTCACCAATAATGGTTAAATACAGTGTTCCCCTATTAATTTCTCCACCTTTGGTGCATTGTCTAATATTACGCCTTCACTGCTCAGTTCACCCTTACTCCCAATTACCTTATTTTCTTGTATAAATTGCGTGAACTTCATTTTCGCTTTAATCGATTGTTCGCACCTTTGGTCCTGGTTTTCTTTGGTTTTCTCTCATTTGATTATCGTCATTGCGTTGGTGTTGGGAAATCTTAAATACCAACGACAGCCACACTTGTTGATTAAAAAGAATGTTATAACTTACTGAAATGCTCTGAATCGATCTCATCTCTGTAATCCTGAATTGACAAATAACGTTTTACCCTAGGCATGAAATAAGAAAAAGTGCAAAGAAATTTAGCAAGATCAACAGTAGTCCTTCACTCTCATTGCTCGTTGCTCTTGTTTTTAGCGCATCCCCCACCTTGCCCTTACTCAGAATCACCTTCTTCTTTCCTTATACAAATAACGCCGTGAACATCATTTACACCTCAATTGAGTGCGTAAGTTGCCACCTTTGGTCCCCGTTTTATCTACCTCTCTTCTCGCCGTTTAAAGTTTGCCTTTCTGGTTGATCAGGTGTCCGAGACAAGTCTTAGAGCCGAAATGTTCATAGCACCGGATTGATTTTCATTTCTAATGTTTTGGGAGAGCGTTTAGGATCGTTAAGATCTAATTTTCCCTAACGAATCTTTGCGTCTTCTTTGCATCCATAAATTCCGTTAGATTTGATTCAGTAGGACAGTATTGGACCCACTACCTTTCCCTTCCTGTTTTAGTACAGTTGTTATGCTTTCAATCCCATTTGCTAAACTAAGAGCCATAATGAGCACGAAGAGAATCATGGACAGTCGCTTCTGTTCAAAAAGTAAGATCTTTGAAACTTCAGCTCAATAATGGGAAAAAAAGATTTTTTAATCTCGAGAAGGTGAATGGGGAAAAAAAGGGGGCAAAGAAAAACGTGAATCTGAGCATTGCGACATTGAGCTTTAAGACATGCATTGCAAGTCAGATTTCAGACCCTTTGCTGAGACAGGGACTCTCTAAAGGACATACTATAAGTGCGGTAATATACTCGCAAAGTGCTTAGTCTAGATGAAAAGATATACAAGGAAAAATAATCGTGGTGAGGTATTGTTAAAAAGTTTATACGAGGCTAACTTCGATAATAACGACGGCTATAACTGAGACCCTTTCATAGTGGGGTATTTTTTAACAGACATGATGTACTACCAGAATTAATAAGACTATAATAATAATAATAATAACTTTATTCATGTGTCAATTATAAAAAATAGCAGTAATGAAACCACTAAGTAAGGACACAACAAAATAGTTTAAATAAAATAGTAAATAGCTAAAATATTGATATTCGAATAATTTACATGTAAGATATGTACAGATTCTATCTCTAAACTAGCTCATTCTCTCTACTACTCTCTAATAAATAGCTAAATATTAATATAAGAATAATTTACATGTAAAATAAGTAAATCTCTCTCTAAAACCCGCTCACTCTCTCTACCCACACACTCACGATTGTAATTCATCCATTCGCAATATAAATAATTAATAAAATTATGTTTATAATTAAATGAGACTGAAAATTTGCGGTCAGCAGAATTAGGCCAGGGCACCTTGATTCCCAGACGATAAAAGACGGGGAGAGAAAATCTGAGCCTAACAAAAAAAAACATAACTAAGAATCATGCGCTGCAAAACCAAGCAGTCCACACAGCCACCATCGCCCATAAGCATTTCCAAATCCAATCCTCTGACTGCCCCCTTAAAACCCGCTAGTGAATGCAAAGTCCTAATACGGGAAGGTAGCTTAGCCCATAGCACAGGTCCTAAATACCTAAGGGAATGCTTGCCATAATGAATAGAGTTAAATCTTGGAATAGCAAATTCTTTAACTCTTAAGTTATACACTATATGATTTGCTTAAAATAAATCTTGTATATAACTTGGTGCTAGCTTAAATTTTACTTTATACATGATGGTCGCAATATCTTGCAATCTACGGTTCATTAAGGTGGGCAATTTAGCCCATTCTAGCAACTGCTTATAGTTAGTATTCCAGTCACAGAAAACTGCCCTAAGACCCCTCTCCTGGACACGCTCCACTTTTTTTGCATCACTTCCCCTACAAAAATGCCATATTGTACTGCAGTATGTCAAATAGGGCAAGACTGCAGCCTTATACAGTTGCAGCTTAGCAGTGGTTGGAATCAAGCTGCGCAACCTTGTCATTACTCCCACTCTCTGACTAGCTTTTTTACAAAGCTCACTTATATGGTCATTAAAAGTCAATTGAGAATCGATGTTTACACCTAATAATTTAATGTTCCGATAGTGGGAGACTTTATTACCGTCTATGTCAATATTGATATTGGCATCTTTTTGCCCGCTAATGAGCATGCTACCGTATTTGGCAAAGTTTCCCTGTAAACAGTTCTCTTTGTACCAACTTGTTGCTGCAACTGCACTCTCCTGTAATCTTGTTTGGATTAACTGGACATCTCTACTTGCTTCGAAAAACCGGTGATCATCTGCATACATGGAGATATTCGACTTCATTACATAAGTCAGATCATTCTGATAAAGATTCCACATCAGAGGCCTAAAGGAAGAGCCTTGAGGGCACCCTCTTTCCACCTTCCTCCATCCGCTCGTTGTATTCCCTAGCTTCACTCTTGCTTGGCGATTTTAAAAATATGATGCCATGAGTTTGAGGCTGACATCATCAAAACTGTATGCTCTCAGTTTAGCTAGCATGAGTGGTGGGAACAGACAATCAAAGGCCTTACTCATGTCAGTTGACAACACACCAACACACTCCCCATTGTCCAATGAATGTCTCCAGCTCTCAGTCAGGTATAACAGGACAGTCTCGCAACTGTGCCTCTTTCTATATGCAGTCAGATGGTCACACAGGCGATCATTATAATGACCAGTGATTTGGGAAGAAAGGAGTTGCTCAAAGATTTTATTGATAACAATTTGCACAGTTACAGGACGATAGTTTTCTTTTTGCAGTTGATCATCTTTCTTGTGAACTGGGGTCCATTCTCCTTTCTTCCAGTCAGTTGGCCAATACCCCTGCTTAATGCAGATGTTGAACAGATTGGCAAGTGGTACAGCCAATTCACTAGCCCCAGATTTTATAGTGCTTTTGGGGGGATTAGGTCCCAGCCCATAACCTTGTCTAGCTTCAGCTTTTTAAGCCTGTCCTTCACTTCACAGGGTTTCACGCTTCGGAAAGAGAAGAGCTGACTATTATCGTGGTTAGCCGCCCTTATAGCCATCACACTGCTGTGATTGTCAAAATCACCCAGAGAGCACTTATTTATACCCAGTTGGCCAATACCATCAGCAATTGTTGCAAAATACTCCCCAAAAGCCTCAGAGATGTCAACCTTATTGCTACTAGCTTGGCCATTAATATTTAGTTTAATGTCTAAGACTTGCCTACATTTTGACTTTGATGACAGGAAGGGCATGAATGTTTTATAAAAGTCTTGTGGTTTGTTCTTGAGATCCTCGGCTTTTGTTTTCCAATAGCTCTTTATTGCTTTCCTACGCAGTCTAGTCGCCTCATTTCGAAACTTGTTGGCTCTGTAATCATACACTCAAGTCCATGGGTCTCCTCTATATCAATCAACAACTTGCCTTCAGGCTTATCAGGGCGGAGTCTATCAAGGTTTAAATCCCCTAATAACACAAATGCATGTCCCTGCAGTGAAGCCCAGTTACAAAAGTGATTAATCTCCTCTTCCAGTTGAAATTGATACGTGTTTACAAGAGATTTGGGAGGGCGATACAAGTCAGCCACAATAACACGTCTCCCTTTGAGCTCAACGTCCAAAACCAAGGATTAGACAGTTATGTGGCTAGCAGGAACTTTTAACCGTTTGCAGATCACGTTAGATGACGCATAAGCCAAGAGACCACCTCCTCCTTTCTTCCTGTCACTTCGGTAAAGCTGGTACCCTGGTATAGTAAATTGTGCATCGGGATAAGAAGAGTCAATTTTGGTTTCACCAATGAACATCACTTGAATTCTTAACTTTTGTATAATTTCCCTCATCTCTTCAAATTTTTTCTGATAGCTGTTGATATTCAAATGTGCTATCAAGAAATTAGAGCTATACTTCGCTCGAGCAGCCATAAAACTTAAAAAATCACGGTCCTGAGAGTCAATCAGATCTGTATAATCCATGAAAGCTGGTTCATTCACGAATAAATCTTCAAGAGTGGTGTTACCAATTCCATGAAATGGTAAAAGGTTATGCGTGGAGATAGTTATGCACGCTGAGCAGACCCAAGTCTTGATTGGCAAATCCTGAATTCGTTTGTACTCGCTGGGTGTCACCTTCGCACACTTTATGTGACTTAGCCCTTTACAACAATCACAGAGTACAGCCCGATGATTTCTTGCCAGCGTTCTTGAACACACACCACACTTGGACTTTTCCGAGGGCCCGGGGTTCAGAGACACATCCCCGCTTATTGCCACACGAGTTATCTGAAATGTGGAGGTTGAATTTGGATACCGCTTGATCCTTCCCACGAGATACCTCACGCCATGTGACTCGAACCGACCAACACGACGAAGGCAGATAGCCGAGTTTAATTCCACTCGAAAATTCATACTGCTCGTCAGTTGTGTCATTGGAGCTTTTCCAACCCTTTCCGCCGTCATTTGTGATGAATAACAAGTTCTTTGCATGATAAATATGACCCCCATGACTAGTTAAAATTGGATAAATCTAAAGGGAGGAGCGTCCTACTTTCGGAGATCGCTTGTAGCATCTCTCGCCTCGGCCAACCCTCTAACCCACGAGATTTAGATATCAATTCTCTGCAACATCTGCCACGCATTTCTTATCATTTAGGGTGTAAGCATTTGGTGTGAAATCAAACTATATCCCAAATGCTACCTTCTTGGATCTTCTTTGATTTTAAAGATGTAGTGATTATGTGATGGAGACAAATTTTCTTTTTACCCTATCTTGGAGGTGGAACAGTCGGAAAACAAAAACCCTACCTTACACGATTTGTAAACTGAATATTAGTTTACGAATACATACGAGACTCTGATGATGATGATGATGATGATGACAGATGACGATCAAATGTTACTCTTGGGTTCGAACAATTTACTTAAGATCCTAGAGATTTCACTAACAGTAGTGAAATATAGTTTTTCTGAGGAAATTGTTAGATCACTCTCATTACTCATCGTTCCATATCTTGTTTCCCCACCCCACCCTTATACCGAATCACCTTCTTTTTTCCTTGTGTCAATGGCGCCGTGAACACCATTTACGCCTTGATTGAGTATTTAAGTCGACTTATAATCTGCAGTTGCATGCCATCTTTGTTCCTAGTTTTGTCCGCCTCTCTTCTCGCCGTTTGAAGTCTGCAGGTCTGATTTTCATTTCTGATGTTTTGGGAGTGCGAGTAGGATCGTCAAGATCTAGTTGTCCCTAATGAATATTTCCGTTTTCTTTGCTTCCATAAATTCCGTTTAGATTTGAACGAATAGTACAGTCTTCCGGGAACCACCAGCTTTCCTCTACTTTTCCTTAAAAAGGGGAAAAGAAAACCGTCAATCTGAGCATTGCGACATTGAGCTTTAATACTAGCATTACAGGTCAGATTTTCAGACCCTTTCCTGGATCAGGGACTCGTTAAAGAACATACTACACGAGATCTATTCATTAGTGTAACGCGCACATATACATGCGGTAATTTGCTCCCAAAGTGCTTAGTCTAGACGAACACGTATACAAGAAAAAATAATCGAGGTGATTTATTGTTAAAAAGCTCATATGAGGCTAACTTCGATTATAACGAGGGCTATAACTGAGCTCTTGTAGTCATTTTGTTGATACTCGATGGACCAAATTCATCTTCTTTATCCTCTGGCTTTGATTTCAAAACTGGGAAAACCAGTCAAGTCTTGAGAGTAAAGGATCTTAATCGTTTTGTCTGTCGACTGATTGGAACTACAATCATTTTCCTTTTTTTTTTCCCCAGAAAGTCGTATGCTTTTGCTTCACTGTTTCATTTATTGTCACGCAACAAAGCTACTTGTCATTAATAATTGCTTTTATTGACTTACTTGCCAAATTGCCAATGTTCAGCTGGTACTCAGCCGTTTTGTTCGCAATTCCAAACCATTTATATTCAGCGTAAACAATTGTTTTAGAATCAACCCCCAGATCCACTCTAAGCCTGTTGTTTTTATTCTTTTTAGTCAGCCGGAGGATTTTATCCAGTCCAAGCCAAAATTCACCATCGAGGAAACTTTTAAAACCATGTTTGTAGTCAGCCCAACTGCGGTTGAAATCAACGGAACCAGTTAATCTTCTCTGGAACACTGTCCAGCCTCCACCGTCTGTTGTCTGGTCACAGTATACATCAAAGGCTTGTGAGTTGTCAGGTTTGATTGTATAAATTCCATTGATTCTCTGACCAGACCTGTGCAGCTCAGCACAATTTTTAACTGTTGAATAAAAATACGAAAGTTTCGTCAACAAAGTTGCTCGTAAATGAGCAGAATGGAAATAAAAAAGCCGAGGATTGTAGATGAGAAAGGAATCTGACTTCGTCGACCACATCCTATGCCTGTGTGTGACGATTGTCTTTGCGTAAATTTTGTTTTGCCTTAGTTTTAGTGCGCATCCTCGCACATGTATGATTTGTCTACCCAGCCTGTAACTGATGAAATTGATGCAGAAAAAATCGAACGAGTGTTAATTTAGCTCTTCATCATTATGGTGTAAGAAGGTAATAATGTAAACGCTGAAGATGAGATTAGAATCACCAACAGTATTGGCCCGAACAGCCAATTAGAAACTCTGAAAAGGGAATTCATCTTATATAATGTGAAGCTCTCTCTTGCTTTAAGCTATTAAAGGTTATAATATGTTACAGTGACAGACTGAAGAAACACCCTCATTTATAGTCTGGTTTGGAATTGATTAGCTATTTAGGCCATTGCTTCAAAAGCTATTTTTGGGGGTGTACGAACTTAGTAAACATCACAACTCAGTGAAAGAGTATTCAGAATTGTCTGGGTCGACCACACACCTTTCCGTGGGTGATGATGGGGCAGAATTTGGGGCAGTGGCTTTTACGAATTACCGGTAGGAAGAATGAAACATCTTATGAGAAAAATTTATCTCAATTTGATCCCTACAATCAATTAGCGTTTGAAACTCTGACCATAACCAAGAAGTTGTGCATTGTCGGCTATTGTCGAAAGAATATTTCGAATTAAAAGTCACAAGAAAGTTCTCTTGTTGACTGTTGTGCTGATAATCGAATACTTATGTTGTGCTACATTGAAAAAGATGTATATTACTGGTATTTAATGATTAGTAATAGTTATTATCTGATTGAGTTCTCCCACATCATTTCTTCTGCTAGATGATTTGACATTAATCGTTACCGAGGGATTATAAACTGCTGGGTCATGGGGATAAAGTTATCTCAGTTTATAATTTCTTGTCATCACGAATACGCCACCGCCAGGAGTTTTGTGATGTTGAACTTTCCAGAGTTATGCTTAACGTGGGTGTTAATTCTTTTTCATATCTACATACTTGTCTAATTGCTAGAAAGATACTTAATCAGCTACATTGTTATTCTGATACCTCGACTGAAGGGTTTAGGGTCCAAAAATCACCTGATGTGATTGTCCAAGGGCAATTCTCAGCAGACAGAAGTTTGGATAACTTGAGCTAAAAAATATTATTTCTTCCTGACAGAAAAACTCACAAGGATAATAAGGGTAGTAATAATTGCTCCATTTTTCGTTCCATGATAACACTCCATACAAGTTGGGAATTTTTTTCGGTGGTCGTTTCCTCTCACATAAACTAGACCTACAATTCATAAATATGTAGCAACTGCTTCACTATTTCTTTGTATAGACATTATCCTTGAGCGCATGAGTAAACATATTTTCTTAAGTGTGCTATTAAGTTCATCAAAGTGCTATCCTCGCGAGGTTACGTTTTTCATAGAGAATTTACATGCAACACTAAAGATCAAAAAGAGAAATAGATAAAATAAAGATATTCTTGATTAGAGACCCTACTTCTTATCGGCTTTTGTAGCCATCTTTAGATCAAAAGAAAAGTCGTGCAGAATAGAACGAAGACTTCAGACAAAATTGCGTCACTTATCAAAACCATTACACATATTAGGTTGGGACTATTGCGTCCAAATGTCTTGCTACTGTCTGTTAATTTGCCGGGATAAATTAATTTGACCCGACTACAAAATGTGAGTGAAGTGAATTAAAACCCTCAAGGAGCTCGTAATTCAATTAAAGCTATAAAAAGGTCCAAAATAGATGGAAAATATTATGAGGAAGTTCATTATGACAGTGGGTAATTTTGTGTTAACAACTGGGTTGAAAACGTAAATTAGCCACCGTAAAGGGTAAAAAAGCTGACGTTTCGAGCGTTAGCCCTTCGTCAGAGCGATTAGAGGAATTGTGGGTTGTGTGTGGATTTATATGTAGGAAGTGGAGCTACGCCATTGGTGGGAATGTGGTGACGAGAAAACAGGAATAAATTAGTTGAATGAAAAGCGCTCGTTGATTCCGTGGGGATTAAGGGTGCCGATTTGGAATATAAATTTTTGTTCTAGTGTTTTACGGCTTTCCGAACTGCCTAGATGTAAGGAAAGGCCGCAAACTGCCATATGCTGTTTAGAATGATGAGGAAGATTAAAGTGTCTAGCGACTGGTTTGGATGCGTCCTTGTCATTTCTTTCCACATCGCGAAGGTGTTCTCGGAATCGGTCACCCAGTCGTCTCCCTGTTTCGCCGATGTATAACTTATTGTAATAAGTGCAAGTTATGCAGTAAATAACATTGGCGGAGGTACACGTAAAGTGATCAATGATCTTAATGGATCTTTTGGGTCCCGATATTTTTTTTTCTACGTTATGAATGAAAGGACAAGTTTTGCATCGTGAGCGAGCTCATTTAAAAGTTCCAGATTGGTTATAGGTTTGAAATGAACTCCTGACTAAAAAGTTGCCTATGTTTTTGTCGCGTTTGAATGAAATAAGTGGGGGTTGCGAAAAGATAGTGCCAGTCTCTGAATCGTTTTGGAGTAATTTAAAATTTTTAAGAATGATAGATTTAACTGCGTGGTTGTGAGGGTGAAATGTAAGAGTAAATGGAATGCGGTCAGTGTTCTCCTTCTCAGCCGTTTGTAGTGCTGCCTGTCGATCGATTAGTTGGGCACGGTGGTAGCCCGCTTGAGCGACAGAAACAGGATAGCCGCGTTTATCGAAAAACTGGCACATTGCCTCTGATTTTCGGAAAAATCAGAGTCGTCACTACATAAACGACGAAGTCTGAGAAACTGTGAAAAAGGTATGGAGTTCTTGACGTGTGATGGATGTGAGGATGAATACAACAAGTAACTATGTGAATCTGTAGGTTTGTAGTAAACACTAGTACATAAGCCGTTGCCTTCAATAGAAATTTTGATGTCTAGAAAAGCCAAAGAAGTGTCGGAAATTTGCCAGGTATATTTAAGGGCCGGATGAAAGGAATTGACGGCGGTTATAATCGATCAAAACAGCCCAACAAGAAGCTGGATAATTTCTCACGCTAAAAATATCGTAGTTTTATTTTTTTGAAAAAAACAACAGACAAACAAACAAACATACAAACAAAACCAATTTATGTTGCATGGCTTGGTGATTCGCGTGTTCCACTTTCGTATGGGGTTGGGCATGATTTCCGCCGTTGTTTCTAGAGGAGGAACCGGAGCGTGGGCTCGAACAATATTTAATGACCGAGCCTATGATAGCTGGAATGTTTCATTACTTAGTCAGTAAGAATGATGACATCTTAGGCCCGGCTCATCTTTCGTTACTTTCTTGCTTAACGGGAAAAAATACGCCCAAAGGTTATATTGGAAGTAGTCTAAAGAGATTAAGTGTCTAACCTTGACATCATTGACCGTTTTTATTCCTTAAGGGCAGAAGTCTAGAATGAAGTAACTTTGCAGAATTCAGAATGATGTCGCTCTTATCATGGTTGTTACTAAAGACTAAACCTTCTCCCCTCTGTTTTCTTCCTTTCGTAGTCTTAGTAAAATTGATGCTTGACATACAAAGAGATCCTACATTTTTTAATAACCCTTTGGTGGTCTTTAGTAGATATAACTCAGTCACTTGTTTACACTTGTGCGGTCAAGTGTGAACATCACTCGGTCAGTTTCTCTCATATCTTTCTCTCAATATCACTCCGCAACTTACCGTTATTGAAATATCATCTGGTTTGTTGCACAGACTTATACAGTCACTTGGAAATTTTACTCTGTATTGATTCCCATTAGTACACGTTGGCGAGTATCTGTGAGTCATGTTCAAATAGCCTGTAAGGAATGTTGATCACGTAATAAAGAAAAAACGTAGCATTCTTAAAATAGTGAAATTTCATCGTCATGATCATAATCTCTTTTTTTAACAGAAGTGGTTGAGAAAAATTGCTGACGACCGGGGAACGCAATAACGGTCAAATCGTTGAAATTTTTTTTCTAAAAAAAAGTAAAGAACAAAAGAAAACCAAAAAAAACGACGACGAGAAAAAAGAAAAAAAAAAAACAGAATCGAATATGGTCAAACTGGGTTGACTCTAATAACATGATTATGGTGAGCTAAGTTGATTATAGTAAATCGATTATATTCGCTCAGTATGATACCTTTCTACTTTAAGAATACCCTGCAGTTACATTACAAATATTTTTTATATCTTTTTGCTCTATTTTTGATTTTTCGAGTTAACATTTACTCTGTGTCAATTAAGAAATAAGCCTTGGACAGCCTATGTAGTCTGGAAACACAGACAAGTTTGGGCGCTAATTGTACATGAATTTAGCCTTTGTACTGGCAGCAGCACTAGAAACAGGAGCTTAAGAAATCCTTTACCGTGACTTTTGGTGACTTGATTATTGTGGTAGCACAATAAGCAAGAAAAACTCAGCAGAATATCATCAAAAGAAAAATACCAAAAATTTACAACCTTGGCAATCATTACCGTAGGGATTATTTGCTGTAAAAAAGCCCTGAAGAAAAAGCTGACTGGCTATCAAGTGAACCTCAATAAACCCAAATGAAGTTTTGACGGGTATTGGCGCCGTTGTCGGTTTGTAATTAGCTTCGTCCGCGATTTTCTTCTTTCATCTTCTCGTTCTTACTCAACAGATTAAGACGTCTAAATCGTCCATTAAAATACCCATTTATGGAAAGGTTTGTCACGAAATGCCTGATAAGTGCATTGATGTTTTGAAAAACACTGACCCCAATTTTCTTTTTCGTTGTCAAATACTCGGTAAACAACGCAAACCAGACTATAATATGCGCGGCATGCCTCCATGTTAATTCTTATGATTCCATGTTAGGTCTCATACCACAGACTTAGAAACAAAATACAAAACAGGTAAGAACTGTCGAATTCTTAGAGCGAAGAAAGCTCAGA